CTTTTGCCCTGGGGTTGGTACATTGTAATTCGTTAAATACAACAAAAGGTAATTGTTCATGCTCTAGTTGACAAGCGGTATTTAGCCTAATAGGAAAAACAGCTAAACTATGAGATTTTCATTCCTCCTGTATTTGCTGCATACTTTCAGTTAAAGGGGATTTATGTGGGGGCGGGGTGATTGGTTGCTGCTAGGGCAGGAGCAGTGGTGGATGATTTAAAGGGGCCACGCATTCGACCACTGAGTCACATCCCCAGCCCTATTTTGTATTATATTTAGAGACAGGGTCTCACTGAGTTGCTTAGCACCTTGCTTTTGCTGAGGCTGACTTTAAATTCGAAATCCTCATGCCTCAGTCTCCTGAGCCACTGGGATTACAGGCATACATCACCACACCCAACCCAATATCATTGACTTTTTAAGTGTATAAATTTCACCAAAATTTTCCAATTTCTTGTCATGAAGTTATTTATTGATATTTCATGTTGGTTCCAGCTCATCGGCATCTGTACTTAACACCCTCTCTTTTATTCCTAAAATGTTAATGTTCTCTATTTTATATTCTTGATTGGATTCATTTGATTTTGTTGTAGTCTTTTTACTTTATTTCTGCTAATTATTAATTTGCACTTTTTTCCTTAATGTGAAGATTGATACTACAAATATCTTCCTGAGCATCCCTTTGCTGCATGGGTAAAATACTGATATCCAGTATTTGTATGATCATTTATTTCTAAATATTACCCAATTTCTATTGTTTCCTTCTTTGATTCCTAGTTTACCTAGCAGTATGTTCTAAATTTTCTGAAAGTGTGAGCTCTTCCCAGCTATGTCTTTGTTACGGATCCCAACGTAACTGCACTACACTTGGAAAAGATTATCTCAATGAACTAATCCCACAAAATGTGTTGAGACTTCTTTAAGGCTCAGGATACAATTTTCCTAAATATTCCTTCATGTGAAGTTTAAAAAGAATCCGTATTCCACAATCATACTACATGTATCCATTAAATCAGCTTGTTGGTAAAATTTTTCAAATTTTCTATATCTTTGCATGTCTTTTTTAGTTCCTAAGAGAAGGGTTGTGGGGAGCCACTCTGAATGATTCATGTCATTAATCTTGGAGCAGAGAGGCTTCGACTGTCACTACATCTTGTAGTGACTTGGACATTGCCCTATCCCAGAAGTTTGAGGACAAGTCTTCAGATGTAGGCATCGCTCTACAGCCCTTGGGTCAAATTACACTCACCTTTCAGTGTAATTCCACCTCTTCTTACCTTTTTTGGATGGAACTTTGTAAGAATGAGGGTCCTTTCAATAAAAGCCCACTTCCAAACCTGTTCTCTCCCTCTCTCTCCGTCTCCCTCTCTCCAGCCTCTGTGACTTTCCCTTGCTCTCCCATTTGGGGAGCTTGAGGCCGAGATAGGAGGAGCCATCCTGAAACCTGTTTAAAGGTAAAGTTTGTGTCTGTGTTTTATTTGGTGTCCCTGTAAATTCACACGAGTGACCTTAAGTTCAGCTGCCTCTGCAGGTCAGGAGCAGCAAAGGTATTTAGTTCCCCAGTACGATGGTATGATTTGCCAGTTTCCCTTGTAATCTGCGAAGATTTTCGTTATGTATTTTAAGACTATTAGATACAAACAGAGAGTTGACATATATTGATCCTGAGTTGGAACTTTAATCAGAACACTTTTATCCTAATAACTTTTGCCATAAATGCTATATTTTCTGGTATCATTATACTAGCTTTTGGTTAGTTTGTATACTAAATTTTTCAATAAAGTAAATTTATTTTTCCTTTCAGTGATAACCTTTAGCCTATACTCTTTTTTATTATTGGTACAAATTATTTACACAGAATGGTGAGTTTCATTGTGGTTTATTTGTATATACATAAAAACACAACTTGATGGATTTACTCCCTGGCACCTCCCCCAACCTCCACCACCCCTCCTCCTCCTCCCCCCCACCTGCTTCCCCTAACCCAGTGGTCTCCCTTCTACTTTTCTGGCAATCCTTTCCCCCTGCTTTTTCCTTCAAGCTTAGGAGAGAAAACATGAGGGTTTTCTGAGTTTAACTTATTTTGCTCAAATTCATGGTCTCTGTTTTGGTTCATTTTCCTGAAAATAACAATTATTTTTCTCTTTATGGCTGAATAAAACTCCTTTGTATACAGATTTTCTTTATCCATTCATCTGCTGGTGGGCACCTAGGCTGATTTCATAACCCGGCTACTGTGAATTGCGCGGAGATACGTGGGTATGCATGCACCTCTGACTGTATGCTGACTTTAATTCTTTTGGATAAACATCAAGGAGTGGTAAAGCTAGATCATATGATAGATCTATTTTAGATTGTTGAGAAACCTCTGTACCAGTTTCCATAGTGGCTGTACCAATTTACAATGACAACAACAGTGTACAAGAAAGGTCTTGAAATGTGGCTCAGTGGGTAAGTGCCCCTGAGTTCAATCCCTGGTACCCAAACCCCCCAAAAAAAAATTCTTTCCCCCATCCCCCACTCCTCCCCAGGTTCACCAGTGTTTATTGTCATGCGTATTCTTGAGTAAGATGGAATCTCAGTATAGTTTTGATTTGCATTTCCCTGATGACTAAAGATGTTGAACATTTTTTCATGTATTTCTTTTTCATTTGTATTTCTTCTTTGAGAATTACCTGTTCAGTTCATTTACACATTTATTGATTAGGTTTGGGGGGAGTTGTTGTTGTTGTTTTGTTTTGGTTTTGCTTTTGGTTTTGGGTTTTTTTGGTGTTGAGTTTTTGAGTTCTTTGTGTTTTCTGGACAGTAATCTTCTGTTGGAAGAGTAGCTGCAAAGAGTGTCTCCCATTCTGTAGATCACCTCTTCACTGTTGTTTCCTTTGCTGTGCAGAAGCTTTTTAGTTTGATGCTCTCCTATTTATTGATTCTTGCTCTTATTTCCTGAGTTGTATGGGTCCTATTCAGAAGTCTTTACCTGCACCTGTATGTTGAAGTGTTCTCCATTTTTCCTTCTAACAGTTCCAAAGACATCACAATACCCAATTTCAAATAATATTTCAAAGCCGTAGTAACAAAAACAGATACAGGGACCAAAGGAGCAGAACAGAAGATGCAAACACATACAGCTACAGTCATCTGACTTTTGCAAAAGTGACAAAAACATTCATTGGAGGAAAAATAAAACACTTTTAACAAATGGTGTTGGGAAAACTGGATATACATATAGACTGAATAAAATTAAAAACCTCTCTCCTACCCATAAAAAAGTCAACTCAAATGGACCAAAGTCCTAAGTATCCTAATTTTTTGTTAGTATTTGCTTAGCATATCTCTTTTATCCTTTTAATTTTAAATAGTTATAATTTATCTAAATAAATTTGTCTTATTTTATTTAATTTTAAATTTTAGATATTATTTTTTTTCTTTTTTTTTTTAATTTTTTATTGTTGGCTGTTCAAAACATTACATAGTTCTTGATATATCATATTTCACACTTTGATTCAAGTGGGTTATGAGCTCCCATTTTTACCCCATATACAGATTGCAGAATTACATCAGTTACACATCCATTGATTTACATATTGCCATACAAGTGTCTGTTGTGTTCTGCTGACTTTCCTATCCTCTACTATCCCCCCTCCCCTCCCCCCCCCTCCCCTCTTCTCTCTCTGCCCCCTCAACTGGCATTCATTTGTCCCCCTTGTATTATTTTTCCCTTTCCCCTCACTTCCTCTTGTATATACTTTTGTATAACTCTGAGGGTCTCCTTCCATTTCCATGCAATTTCCCTTCTCTCTCCCTTTCCCTCCCACCTCTCATCCCTGTTTAATGTTAATCTTCTTCTCATGCTCTTCGACCCTACTCTGTTCTTAGTTACTCTCCTTATATCAAAGAAGACATTTGGCATTTGTTTTTTAGGGATTGGCTAGCTTCACTTAGCATAATCTGCTCTAATGCCATCCATTTCCCTGTAAATTCTATGATTTTGTCATTTTTTAATGCAGAGTAATACTCCATTGTGTATAAATGCCACATTTTTTTTATCCATTCATCTATTGAAGGGCATCTAGGTTGGTAATTTTAGATATTATTGAAGACGTTTGCTAATTTAAAATATTTAACATAAAAAAATACTAGAAAATTTACTATAGTTACCATCCACGCACCATACTACTGCCTCAATTTAAAACTTTATTTTTTAAAAAATAAAATAAAAACTAAGCAAAACCACCCAGCATAAGGCCACACGCCTGTAATCCCAGAAGCTCAGAGGCTGAGACAGGAGAATCGCAAGATCAAAGCCGAGCCTCAGCAAGAGTGAACTGCTAAGCAACTCAGTGAGACCCTATCTCTAAATAAAATACAAAATAGAGCTGGGGATGTGGCTCAGTGGTCAAGTGCCCCTGAGTTTAATACCCGCTACAAAAAAAGAAAAAGCAAATTAAATAAAACATTATTTTACCATATTTGCTTTATCTCTTTTCTTAAATTAGGACATATGTTAACATAAGCTTAATACTATTATCACACAATAAAATTAATAATTCCTTAGTATTCTTTAATACCCAGAATAAATTTGAATTTTCCAAATATCTCAAATTGCTTTTATAGTTTTTGTTTTTTTATAGTTGTTTTTGACATTTGCTTTTTGTCAACTATTTCTTTCAGCACAGAACAGCATTCACACACCCCAAATTTTTCTCCTCAATAGCATTAACTTTATTAAGACATCAGACCAGTTGCCATGTAAAGTTTAAACCAGGGTCTGAGACAAAACTCAATTCTGTTTCTGGCAGGTGGAGTCAGCATACGCTACAGCCTCTGCAGCTGAGAAAGCACTTTGGTGTTGGCAGCTAATCACAGCAGGGCATGCCTGCCAGCTCCCCTCCAGGAGGACCCAGGGTGGCAGGTGGCAAAGCCAGATTCTTCTCCACTACTATCAAGCAATTTCTTTGCAGGTTCTTGTCTCACAAATTCAAAAAAAGGACAACAACAGAAGGCAGAGTGAAAAAGAGTAAGATTTATTAAAACGTGAAGAAAAGAGACTGAACTCTCGCAGGACAAGAGGGTACCCGATAGCGAGTTGCCATTGGAGTATACTAGTCCAGGGGTTTATATAGCTCTTGGCCAACACTGTTGGTCCAAATTTATGCTAAGCAGGCCTTGGAAAAGTACCAATGCTATTGGCTGGCCCTTGAGTCTGAACTTTCCTGTAACCTCCATTCAGGCTCACCCCCACTCTGTGCACCGGGCCTTCAGGGGAACGTAGAGTGCCTATCTTATCCAAAATGACCATCCTTTTCATCTCAGTCATTGTGTTCTTATATTTTAAGTGCATCTATTATGAACTGTATTTGTAGACTCATCTCTAAATCCAGTGTAATGTTTGTCTTTTACTTTGCAAGTTTAGTTCACTTGCAAAATACTTACTGTGATTATCAATATATTTGGAATTAGTTCCTCCATTTTATCCAGTTATTTCCATACACCACTTTTTGTATGTAAATTTTCCTCCTTTATTTTTCACTTTTTAAAGATTGAAGAGCATACGTTCTGTTTTGCTTGAGTTTGTCCTCATTCTTTTTCCATCCATCCCCTCATTATTAGTTTGGAAGTTACACTCTGTGTTTCCCTTTTATCTTAAGCCAGAGGAAAAAGGGTTTAAGAAGACCCACTTTTTGAGTTTGGCCTGTCTCTTAGGTTTGGGGAGCTTGTGAGCTCTAATGAGACACATCAACAGGGCTGAGTCAGAAAGGAAACTGGACTGGAAACAAAGTATTCTCTCAACACTGGTCCTTGAGAGTACTGCTTATCTTGCACCAGATGTGGGCAAGGCAGGAGGGCCTTCTGTAAATCCTGTCCAGACTTGCTATGGACAGGATGGTCCCCAGATAACCAGGGGCAAAGAAGGAAACATTCCAAGCAAGTAAAAGGAAGCATGCCCTTAAGAAGGAAGGACAGTCCGCCCCAGCAGTATTTCCAAAGAACCCACAACAGCCCCTTCAGAGAACAGGTCACTCTGAACATCTACAAAATCCATTAAGCCATAACAGATGTCAAATGACCAACAATGGAAGGTGATACCTTATCCCAGCCCTTCCCACGAGGACTTGGCAGCAGGGAGGGGTAGGGGGCCAGGACCAGCCACTCCCCAAGCTCTAAGACTGCCTTTGTACCATGTGACCCTGAGCCATCCTGCATGGCTGATTGGCCTGATGGAAGTTACCTGACCCAAAGGCAGCCAATGGGTAGGCTGAGCTGTGTGGTGACGAGCCAATCAGATTCTCAGGAACTTGCGCTTGGGAGCATAGAGCTGCCCAAAATGGGCAAAGAGGATGCTAAGCTGAGGTGGGAAGAGAAGGCGGGTGGGAATATGGGACACTAGGCTTGGAGGTCATGGCAAGCAGAAGTGGAGAGGAAGCCAAAGCACTGAGGAGGCAGAAGAGACAAGGCAGTGTGTCCTGACTCCCAGAACTCCCCTTCGGGAGATCACCGGAGTGAGCCTCTGATTTCTGCAATGAAGAACACAATCTTCAGAGAGAGAGAAAATCATGGAAGGGAGTCTCCTGGAACACAGTCCAGCTCGTCCCTACATGGACTTCACACTAAGCGTCAGTGCTGCATTTCCCCCCAAAAAAAATCCTCTCTTATTGTGCTCTATTTTATTCTGTGAAAATAAGCCTTATTATAAATCAGAATGAAATCCACAAACCAAACCCCAAACTCTCTAGCAAAACAAGACCCTCTGGACTATAAAGGCATTCCTGACAGGACAGTCACTTCAACTTATTGCTTTTGCTTCTTGTTTCTTGAGAACATGACTCCAATGAGGCCCACGGCTGCCAAGCCCACTCCTGCGATGCCAGCTGCCATGATGACATCTCTGACCTGCAACAGAGAAGGGGTGAGTCAGACTCTAGTGGCAGGAATCCAGAGCAAGCTGTATGTTCAACAGGATCGTGCAGCTCAGGGCACCTCCATGCCCTTGGTCTCCCTTCACCAAACTCAGGAACCAACCAACAAATGTTGGAAGAGCCGAGGAGAGAGTTGGATGGGAAAAGAATCAGTGGGTGTAGCCAGCTGGCCTGGACTTCACAGAAACCCGAAAGTGAGAAACTCAATTCATCCTGTGGCTATTTAAAGAATATAAATCCTCAGCGGGTGACAGTGGATGACGTCAGAATGGTCAAAATACTGGCCAGCTACTGGGAAGCTCTTGAAGCCAGTGTGAAGTCAGGAACTTGTTATTGACAACGCAATAAAATATGACCTGCATGAGAACAGTGACCTCACCCCTCACTGGACCAGCACCTGGTCCAGTCAGGCATGGAGATGCTCTTTGTGTTTCTTTTTTTTTTTTTTTTTAAGGAAAAAAAAACTTTATGTTTAAATTCTGATCTATGCATAAAAAATCATTTTTATTTCATGGTTAAACTTAGTACAAAAATGACAATAATGTTAACACGGAAGATTTCAACAGAAATCTATTCAGATTCATTTATTCCTGTAAGGCTAATATATAAAGAAACAAACATTCACACATTTTACTAAAATTTTCAGTAAATAATTCTAGCCATAATACTTATTGCAAAATTAAAAGTTCAAAAATTGTGTGTGGTTTTATAGCAATTACAATTTGTAATGAAAACACTAAGCCAAATTTCTCTGATCTAACCAGAACAACCCAAGTTAAAGACAAACCCACATAAATCCAGTTAACTCATACTAGACTCAGGTTCCAAAAACCACATTGGAGAAAAGATAGCATATTCAACAGATGGTGCTGGGAAAACTGGAAATCCATATGTAGTAGAATGAAATTTAACCCCTATCTCTCACCCTGCACAAAACTCAAGGCCTAGGAATTAGACTAATAACCCTGCACATACTAGGGAAAATGTAGGTCCAACAGCCCATGATGTGAGCTCAGGAACCAACTTCTCGACAAGACTCTTAAAGCACAAGAAGTAAAATCAAAAATCAACAAATGGGATGGCATCGAAATAAAAGGCTTCTTCACAGCAAAGGAAACAATCAAGAGCATGGAGAGAGAACCTACAGAATAGGAGACAATCTTTACCACCTGCACCTCAGGTAGGTGTTAATTTCCAGGATATACAACGAATTCAAAAACTTAACACAAAAAAACCCCAAAAATCCATAAATGGGCAAAGGAAGTAAACAGACATATCTCAAAAGAAGAAACATGAACAGTCAACAAATAAATTTAAAAATGTTCAACATTGCTAGCAATTAGAGAAATGCAAATTAAAACTACGCTGAGATTTCATCTCACTCCAAGAAGAATGGCGGTTATCAAGAATACATAACAGGGGCTGGGGATGTGGCTCAAGCGGTAGCGCGCTCGCCTGGTGTGCGTGCAGCCCAGGCTCGATCCTCAGCACCACATACAAAGATGTTGTGTCCGCCGAAAACTAAAAAATAAATATTAAAATTCTCTCTCTCTCTCTCTCTCTCTCTCTCTCTCTCTCTCTCTCTCTCCCCTCTCTCTCTCTCTCTCTCTCTCTCTCTCTCTCTCTTTTAAAAAAAAAAAAGAATACATAACAGTAAATGTTGGTGAGAAAGCAGGGGAAATGGTGCACTTATACATTGTTGGTGGGACTGCAAATTGATGCAACCACTCTGAAAAGCAGTGTGGAGATTCCTCAAAAAACTAGGAATGGAACCACCATTTGTTCCAGTTATCCCACTTCTTGGTACATATCCAAAGGACTTAAAATGGGCATAATATAGTGACACAGCCACATCAATGATTATAGAAGCTCAATTCACAATAGCTAAGCTATGGCGCAAAACTAGGTTTCCCTTTAAGAGATGAGTGGATAAAGAAATTGTAGTAGAGCAAAAGATAGCAATACTGGAAGCTCTCAAAAAGCCCACAAGGATCTCATTCATCACAATGAAACTCAAAATTAATGAAGTACTTCCCACCCCCATTCACTGAGAGCTTCTGTTAGGTAGCAATCATCCACCCTTAATCATAAGAAGGAAGGTTCAACGGAAGTACCACACATCTAAAATTAAAGACAGAGAGGAAAACAAACATTTTAAAACGTCATCTGGCTGGGCACGGTAGTGCAGGACTGTAATCCCAGCGGCTCAGAAAGCAGGGGCAGGAATATCACAAGTTCAAAGCCAGTCTCAGCAATGGTGAGGAGCTAAGCAACTCAGTGAGACCCTGTCTCTAAATAAAATATAAAATAAGGCTGAAGAATGTGGCTCAGTGGTCAAGTAACCCTGAGTTCAATCCCTGGTACTCACCCCCCCCCCAAAAAAAAAAAAGTCATCTGGAGAAATAAATCATATCTAGAAAAGAAACCACTTTTTAAAAACTATTAATAGAGAACAGAGGACATATTGCATTCAATAAATAAGTACACAGTACTATAAAAATAATAGAAATTGAGAAAACAAACAGTTCATAGAAAATAAAAATATGATAGAAGCGACAAACTCAGTAGGAAAGTTGAAAGATGAGAAATTTCTCAGAATAGAAGCCAAAGATTTAAAAAATATAGAGAATAATCCAACCAGCCCAAAATCTGAATAATACAAATTCCAGAAAAAGAAACAGGGAAGAAAAAAATTAAAAATTAAATAATTCATGCTGGGCACTGTGGCACACTCCTGTAATCCCAGTGACTCAGGCAGCTGAGACAGGACGATCATGAGTTCAAAGCCAGCCTCAGCAATTTAGCAAGGTGCTGAGCAACCCAGTGAGACCCTGTCTCTAAATAAAATACAAAATAGGGCTGGGATGTGGCTCGGTGGTTGAGTGCCCCTGAGTTCAATCCCCAATGAGCTCCACGCCCCCACCAACAAAAAATATATATATATGTATATTATGAATAAAAAAATAGGGCCAGGCATGGTGGTGCACACCTGTAATCCCAGCAGCTCTGGAGGCTGAGGCAGGAGAATCTCGAGTTCAAAGCCAGCCTCAGCAACATTGAGGCACTATATAACTCAGTGATGTCTCTAAATAAAATACAAAATGGGGCTGGGGATGTGGTTCAGTGGTTGAGTGCCCCTAGGTTCAATCTGTGATACCAAAAAAAAAAATTAATTTAAAAACTTTTCCAGAAAAAAAAAGAAATAAAGAGGTCCAGGAATTTGATACAATACTTTATCATAGTAAAACTTCAAACATGAACATTATGTCTACAATACTAGAAAGGCAAGAAAAGCGATGATGAAATCATTACACAATTAATGCAAAAACAACCCATCTCAGAAGACAAGCACTTAAGCATCCTAGGAAAGGGCCACAAGAAAACGTTGCTAAGTTTTTGACATGTCTGTCATGCCGGAAATCAAACCCAGGGCCTCTAGCAAGCTTGGCAAGTGCTCTACCATCGAACTACATCCCCAGCCCATTTGTTGCTAATTCATAACACAGACAGCTGTGCTGATGCAGACACAGAAGCAATTGATTACTGCTCTGGTACCTTGGCTTTGTCCAGTAATGGGTCATTGCTTTAAGAGGATGGACACATGCGCGCGCGCGCACACACACACACACACACACACACACCTCAGACTCATCCTCTGTTTAAAACATTCCCATTTACCTTTTTGTTTTGTGTGTGTGGTGCTAAGCATTGAATCCAGGGCCTTGTGCATGCAAGACAAGCACTCTACCAACTGAGCTATATGCCCAGACCCCCATTTACCTTTGACCTCTGATCTTCAATCTGGTTTAACTCCAGTGCCTAAACATCCACTCAACATGTGATTGACATGTCAGACTTCAGGAGTCTGTCTATTCAGTAACCGAATTTAGTACAGCTGTTCTTTCACCTCAGCATTCAAATATGTTTGGTGTACAAAACACTGTGAAGGTGACACTGGAGGACGGTCTGACTGTCTGCTGCTGACTGAACCGTGGCAGCAGGACATGAGCCCAGCAGCACTCAGAGCTTCAGACTCAATGCAGATCAAGAACCTCTACGTGTGAGTGCCTAGGGTATGATCTGAAGCGTGGAAACCAGTGCCAGGCAGAGGTCTGCTGCCCTCATTTGCAGTTTGGCTAGAGGTTCAGTGTATCTGGTGGCCCTTTCCCCGACTTTCTTCCAGTCTCTGAGCCATAGTGTCCTCCCATCCATGTCAGCCCTTGGTGTTGTATAGCACAGCAGCAACACGGAAAGCAAGAAAACTGAATAGAAAGGATCCAGATCAATGAGCCACAGTGAGAGAGTCCAGGCTCCCTACTTCTGGCATTATCCAAGGTCCAATTCCAGGGCAGCCCCTGAGACAATGCAAAGGGACAGCAAAGGGTCCCAATATAGACCAACTGTCCCCAGTGAAGGCTCCGCGTCCCAAGTCAACAAAACTGTTGTCTCTCCCACCAAAGGCATGAAAGAGTGTCACAAACGGATCAAGAAAACTCACCCTAAAACCAAGCCAGTCTCTTAAGCAGAATCCGAGCTGCCATGGATAACATTGTATCTTTCATGCCAAGAAGTTCAATGAAGACAGCACACCAAGAAACTCAGAAACAAAAAGGATGAAAATGTGCACCTGGCACACAAAACCTGCACCCCAACATGAAATGGCCAATGCTTTATTGCCACTTGAAGCAGAGAGCTTACCCGGATGGATGGATGGATGGATATAAATATGGATAAAAAAAAAATTCCTATATAACCAATGTAGAGAAGGATTTGAGAGCTGCAGTAGTTTGTTTGTTTGTTTGTTTGTTTGTTTGTTTGTTTGTTTGTTTCATGCTGCTCAGACTTATCTGGGCCATAAACATGTCCATCATAGCCGTGTGCATATCAGCAAACACCAATGTAATCAACAACACAAAGTGCCTGAAACTAGGTTCTCAGCAGCCGGAACTCATGTTAGAAGGGTCTGATGGAGCT